TTTTTTAATTGCTGCAACAAATGCTTTATTATTAAGCAAATTTGATTTTCTTTTATTTGTTGTTTAAACTGGTACAACAAAATTAGCAGGTCCTTTCTCTTCTTTAATATCTTATTTTTATTAAAGATGAGCAAATGGCTTTTATTCTTTTAATGGAACTCTATTTTTCATAAATAATTTTTGAAATATTTTATAAAAACTTAATAATTTCTTTTATAATTACTATTTGAATTCTATATTTCATATTAAAATAGAGATGTAAGAGTATATTTTAAAATTATTTGTTACTTAATATAAAAATTGTATTTTTAGATAAACAAATAATAAATATAATAATTATTAATTAATTAAGTGTTTGTTTGAATATTGAAGAGTTAATATTTTTTCCAAGTAAAATATTTTGTATGCTTTTTTTTTTTAATATTCCAATATTTTGCAGGTAAGTAGATTTTCACTAGTGAAATCTAATAATATAATTAAATCAATGCTAAAAAAGTGTACAGATAATCCAAAAATAGCTGAAACTTTAAAATAACTAGTTTAAGAACGTGGATAAAAGAGATGGCCAGAAATTGCAAAAGTGTTAGAATCTATGTATGATATAAAAATTGAAATTCCATTTACTTTAAAAGCTATATACTAAGATATAATGAATCCAAGACCTGGTTTGAATACTGAACAATTAAAATTATTAGTTACTACAGCTATGAAATATAGATCAGTAATTAGATTGGCATTACCAGAGTTCTAAAAGATTTCAGGAATAGGGTTTTATATATAATTATGATTTTTAGTATTTCTAGACACAAATTTGTAAGTAGATTATATAGATTTTATAAAAACACAATTTTAGCAGGAATTCAGATTTTCATTAGAAATAAAATGGATTATCGAAAAAGATTAGCTAAATTTCCTGGATAATCAATTGGGAGAATATTATAATGTAAAGAATTGACAGGAGAGGATGATTTTACATAAAGATTAAAAATAATGGCAGAATAATTGGAAATATTACTTAATTGTTATTTATAATTAGAAGATGAAAGAGATTTTTCTTTATTATATGATATTCTTACTCCAAGAATGAATAAAAAGACTTTTTTTTTATTATTGAATTGTATATCATTTATGGATGATTTGAGATGCATATAATAAAATGTTATTAAATCAGATGATGAATTGATGCCTGATTATTGGTTATAACCAACAATAAAGGAGAATAAAGAACTTTTGGTTTACAAAAAATTATTCTTAGATGATATGGATTATAAATTTAGAATGTATACTGATTCATAAGATGTTTAAACTGAAATAGATTTCAAATTCTTTTTAAATAATGCATATATGAAACCTAAATCAGTTGTAACTTAAAGATCAGCAAAATTAAAGACTGTAAGAGGAAAAATTACAGTAAATGATAAAAAATATCCAAGTGATAAAACTATTATTTTTGATTAACCAGAAGAGGAGAGTGAATAAGAAGGTTATGAAATAGATTTTAAAAAACATAGATTATTAAATAAGGATTGATATTATTAAATTATATATATATCTATAATATTATTATTGCTATATAAAGAATCAAATAATAATTTTTATTTATTATTAAGGTATTAAANTGTATGCTTTTTTTTTTTAATATTCCAATATTTTGCAGGTAAGTAGATTTTCACTAGTGAAATCTAATAATATAATTAAATCAATGCTAAAAAAGTGTACAGATAATCCAAAAATAGCTGAAACTTTAAAATAACTAGTTTAAGAACGTGGATAAAAGAGATGGCCAGAAATTGCAAAAGTGTTAGAATCTATGTATGATATAAAAATTGAAATTCCATTTACTTTAAAAGCTATATACTAAGATATAATGAATCCAAGACCTGGTTTGAATACTGAACAATTAAAATTATTAGTTACTACAGCTATGAAATATAGATCAGTAATTAGATTGGCATTACCAGAGTTCTAAAAGATTTCAGGAATAGGGTTTTATATATAATTATGATTTTTAGTATTTCTAGACACAAATTTGTAAGTAGATTATATAGATTTTATAAAAACACAATTTTAGCAGGAATTCAGATTTTCATTAGAAATAAAATGGATTATCGAAAAAGATTAGCTAAATTTCCTGGATAATCAATTGGGAGAATATTATAATGTAAAGAATTGACAGGAGAGGATGATTTTACATAAAGATTAAAAATAATGGCAGAATAATTGGAAATATTACTTAATTGTTATTTATAATTAGAAGATGAAAGAGATTTTTCTTTATTATATGATATTCTTACTCCAAGAATGAATAAAAAGACTTTTTTTTTATTATTGAATTGTATATCATTTATGGATGATTTGAGATGCATATAATAAAATGTTATTAAATCAGATGATGAATTGATGCCTGATTATTGGTTATAACCAACAATAAAGGAGAATAAAGAACTTTTGGTTTACAAAAAATTATTCTTAGATGATATGGATTATAAATTTAGAATGTATACTGATTCATAAGATGTTTAAACTGAAATAGATTTCAAATTCTTTTTAAATAATGCATATATGAAACCTAAATCAGTTGTAACTTAAAGATCAGCAAAATTAAAGACTGTAAGAGGAAAAATTACAGTAAATGATAAAAAATATCCAAGTGATAAAACTATTATTTTTGATTAACCAGAAGAGGAGAGTGAATAAGAAGGTTATGAAATAGATTTTAAAAAACATAGATTATTAAATAAGGATTGATATTATTAAATTATATATATATCTATAATATTATTATTGCTATATAAAGAATCAAATAATAATTTTTATTTATTATTAAGGTATTAAATGAATATAAATCTTATTTATTTAATATTTAAATACTTAAAAAATGATATCTATTATAAAATCAAAATAATTTATCATGTTGTATGCTAACAATTTTAATAAAAAAATTACTTTATATAATTAAATTTAATTATTAATGTTCGGTGATTAAAAAAAAACCTTAATAATTGGAACAGTTGGTGTTGTAGCTTTAGCTGCTTGGATATGGTAAGTATTTGATAAGAAACATATACCTAAACTAACATAAACTGTTAGTGATGAGAAATTAATTAAGTTTATAAAGGAATTAAGAGCTTAATCATTTCCACACTTTTTTTTAGTATCAGGCATAATCAAATAATAGAAAATTCAATATAAAGCAGCAGAATATTAAGAAATTCTAGTAAGAATTAAATAAGAAGTTGAACTTCTCTTTGAAAAGAAATAAACTATGATTCTATGCAAGTTAGATCTAGATAAAAAAGAAGTTGAATAAAGTTTATTGGTTACTTAAAATGTAGAAGTCAAGAATTTGTATGATTAATATTAAAAATTATATGAAGATGCACTTGATGGCATTTAACCAGAAATAAAATTAAATGATTAGACTTTAAGAAAATTTAATTAAGAGAAATTACTTTAAATGATGGGTAATGTATTAGCTGTTTCTGTTGATGTTATTTGTTTGGCAACAGAGGAATTAATTAAAAGATCAGATTGTCCAGATGAATTTAAATTGGATTAACCAATTGTTATGAAAGCATTGATAAAAAATGGTTTAATTGATAAAAAATTAGAATTATTATCTTCATTTAAAATAAATGAATATGAATAAGAGGAATAATGTCCAATAGAATTATTTTCTAAATTGATTTAATATTACAAATCAGAGAATTCTAAATTTAAATAATGTGTTGAAGACATTGAGAATTTATATGAGAATATCATTCAAAAAATATTAAAGAAAGAAATAGATTCAGAAAGTGCAAGAAGTGCCTCAACTAAAATAGATATAGATGAAATTATAAAGAAACTTACATGAATTTCATAAATCGTATTCTTCTTTCTTTTATTCCATTTATTTTTATTCTTCATCTTCTTACTCTTAAATTTTTTCTTGATTTTTTAAACCTTTAGTATTTAATTACTTTTATAATTCTTAGAGTAAAAGAGATGGTGGAAATGGAGCACTTCCTTCAATTGTTAATCTAATATAAAAATCTATAAATAAAACTTAGCAGGAGGTGTTTATATTTATGGTAATACTCTAGAATCAATACTATATTCCAATTAATCTTAATAATTTTAAATTCTTTTAAAATCTATTTGCTCTATAAAATGTTTAAAAATAATTCCATTTTCTATTTTTTAAATAGTCTTAATAAAAATGATTTATATACTGCTGGCAAAAAACTAAATTTATCTTAAAATAGATAATAAATAATAGCAACAATTGATGAGCTAATAAAAGTCAAAGATTGCTGAATTAAACTAAAGAGAATAACAAATAAAATTGGATAATATTTATTTTTTAGTTACATAGGAAAAATCAATAATTGACTTTATCCATTTGGTATCATAAGACAACTTAAAATAAAATAATAATTGATACTCTTGAATAATGAAGAATATGAAATAGTTCCATAAACTATATGCTGGTGTATAAGAGAAAGGAGTATAAATGAAGGAGAAGAAAAATTATAATAAAAGGCAAATTGTCTAAAATGATATATTTATTTTTATACTTAAGTGATAAAACCTAGAATAAAAATGATTATAATGAATGAAATTGTGCTGTTTTTTATTTCGAACTCTTTGAATTTATTAGAAATACATATTATTGCTAATATCATATCAATACTGTAATCTAAAGTATATTATAAAATTTTATTATACAATGAACAAAATGTGCAAAAAATAATCTCCATATTTAAAAAGGTAATGTTGAATTTGGCGAATTACTAAAGAAATTAAAGGTATAATGTGTAAATAGATCAATTAATCCAAAAATTGATGAAATTCTTAAGATAACCTTTGTTCCAAATAGATGTGATTACCACCATGCTTAAAGCAAGGAATCTAATCCTGACTATTAATTTATATTATTGTCTAATCTTTATTGATTCATTATATTAATATTTTATATATATTCATTATATTAATATTTTATATATTCTAATAATTAATCACTTGAATACAACTGCATAAGTGTTGTTTTATTAAGTGAATTCAATGTTAAATGAGGATCCATTCTACCAACTACTCTATTTCAACTGTTTAATCTACTCAGTTGTGAGTACTTTCAATTATTATGTATCTGCTACATTAACAAATGTAATAGGTTTCATATTATCTCTATTTGGTTATTTACTTAAGTCTTTACTCCATTTATTAGGTTGGTTGCCATTATATTTCCAAGCTAACACAGTTAATTTATTATCAGAAACATATGTAAATTCTTCAACTTATCCATTCTATTTTTTTTAACCTTTATTTATTGCCTCTTTTGTATACAATTAAGCCAATAGATTAGGTTGTGATCTATAATTAATTCTACTAATTTCAACTGATTAAGTTCCATAAAAAGTTAATGTACTATCATATAATTATTCATTTAAGAAATCCAAAAGAATTACCAAAGTATATCTGCCCTTTTATAAGTCTACATTAACTACTAATGTCTTATATTGACCATAATCCTAAGCAATTAATTATTATTATTCATCAAAAACTAATAATCTTGCAAAACAATAATCATATTTTTTAGATATATTATTTCTAAAATATCTTTCATCTCTTTAATGTAATCTAAAAGTAGCAACAGTATCTTAATGTACATCCACATAAAATGATGAATAAGCATCATTGTTTGCTTTCAAATTATAACTAATATGATAATTATTAGGAACACATTTAGCAATTGTTATTTATTTACTAATAATATTTTTTATAGGTAATTTAAATTCCCCTTCTGGTTAAGCAGTACTTGGTTGATTCCTTACCCATCCCCATGGATTACGTAAAGTTACATCTTTACCATCATAATTCAAGAATGTAAAAATTCCATCTGGTAAATGTACCAAAGCAACATCATTTTAATTCAAAGATTTTAAAATATTCTCACTTACTTATTCAACAATAATAGGTGCTCCTGTTGTTTCTTAAAGAAAATCAGCTACTGTAGCAATTTTAAATGCATCCTCATAACTTCCATATTCTTTTGCAAATGCCTTCTCAATAATGAATGGCCATATTTCTGATTAATAACCAGGATTGGATTTTTATAATGATCTAAATAATTAAAAATTATAAATACTTTAATTTATTATTATCAATTGTAGTCCTTGCTCCAACAGGTTCTCCTTTAAAATATCCAAGTAAATCATCAACTAATATATATTTCCATACACCTCCTATACATAATCGAGCATAATAAAATCCAAATTCATTTATAACTTGATCTTCTAAAATTCTAGTTATTAATTATGGTTATTCAGCAATAGCAGCCAATACTTACATCAAAGTACCTGATTATTATCCAGGTACTATATCATTTGGTTCTACTACTTAATGAGTATCTTATTCTCTTCCTAGATTGAACCTTTTAAAATCAACTTAACCATGTCCAAATACTTGAAAAACTTATAAATCATTAGGAGGAAATGTTGGATCTACATATTCTTTCTATGGTGCAAATTTCAATGACAATTTTTTACTTACTTCAATATTATTTTTTGGTTCCAAAGCTTTAATTCTATCCTCTGGTATTGTTTTTATATTCTTAACTATGTCTTTTACAACTTAAGTATTCTTTCCTCTTCTTATAAAATTGGGTCTGTTTTCAGATATTTATGGTCCTTATTCCTATTCTTGATTATCTTAATCAATTCTATTATATTATGGTTATTGATTTTATTGTTAATTCCCCTTGTTGGATTAATCATTTTTTGAAGGCTATTCAATTTTAGTTGGTTATTCTACTTTTGGAGATTATTAAACCTTATTTGGTTACTCTGGTTGAAGAGGAGGTTATTAATTCTTTTGATCTTCTTTTTTAGCCGAAGGTTTATTTGAAATAGATTTTGCAGGATCTACAATATCTTTTGGTGCAGGTGTAGGTGTTTATTTTTCATTCTATTATGTTTTATTTGTTACTGGAGTTTATGATTAAGAGGGTTATTATTGAGGTGTCTTTGTTTATTAAGGAGTCTTTGTTTATTATGGAGTTTATGATTACTATGATGGTTGAGGTTATGCTTAGGGTGTTTTAGTTTATGATGGTTATTATGCAGGTGTCTTTTATTAAGATTATTGTTATTTTGGATCTGGAGTTTAGAATGGTTGAGTAGTATTGGGTTTTGCTGGAGTCTATTATGATTACTTTTATTATTATTATGGTGTATCCTTATTTCCTGTATTATTTTGGGTTTATGTTTATCCTTTTTTTGGATCTGTGTTTGATATTTCTTATTCACTCTTTTTAGTTGTACTTTAAGGAGGTGGTGTACTTGGTATTATTGAACTATTGTTGGACTTAAATATTAATAAATTATATATACTTTATCTATTTTTGAATCATTTCGACTCTTCTTTCTTATTAGACTATCAAGAAAATCAGGATCACTATTTTGATTTTTGAATTTTTCATCATCATCATCGACTTTACTTCTTGCAAAACTAGAGATACCAGGATCATCATCATCATCATCTTAGATGTCACGAGCCCTACCAGTTAACTATCTCATGTTGGGTCTACGGTTAATTAGCTAACTTGACTAATACATAATAAAAATTTAATTATTCTTCTAAGATTGAATTTTGATATTATTTGTTCATCATATCAATATATAAAACTCATATTTTTAAACAATAGAATTAGAAAACATATCAAATATATGGTTTCTATATAAACTTATAGATTAAATAATAATCAGATACATTTTCTATTTATTTAACTAAGTCATGAAAAAATAAAATTTTATTTTTTTTAAATAAGTATATATATAAATAAGAAAATTTCATAAAATTAAAATCAGTATCAAATTTTTTGATTAACTAAATAATAGATCAAAAATTACCTAATATCAAAGCTGCTATTAATTAATCTTATTTTATTCTCTCTTTTTTTATTTAAATACTTTTAATATAATGAAAATCATTAAATTCATCCTAAAACATTATCTCATTTTATAAAATTATAGAATTATAATAATATTGATTTAGTTATTTATTTTAAAGATTTAAATTATGATATATATGTTTATAAATTGCTTAGTTGAATAAGAATAAAATTATTGAATTATTTTTGATAATAAGATTATAAATATTAGTTACAATTATAAAATTAGATTTTTTATTTTTTTACTTTGAATCCTAAATATATATTTGAATAAAAAAGGAATTAATAAATCTGGTAAAATAAATATTATTCTTTTAGTAATTTCAATATTTATTTATTCATTTTATTTATGTTTAAATTTATCCTGTTTTATTGTAATGATCAATATATTTATTAAATTGAATTTCCTGAAACTAAAAATATATGTAAACATTTTTTCATTAAATAATATAATGATTGAGCTATTAAAATATTGTTTTGTCTATAAAAAAATGTTTAATTATTATATAGTTAATATTTGAATTCAAGTTAAGTATAATATACATATATTTGAATTTAGTTAAAATATAAAATCAAGGATACATGTATTATTTATTAAACATAATATTCTTCAATTATAATTTATTTGGTTTTTAAAAAGATATAATTAATTTATTTGATGATTAGATTAATTATGAATGTAGATATATTCTATTTTTAGAGCTAAGACATAAGAATAATTAATGATTGATGATTAGATTAATATTCATGTAAGTATTATTATAGGTGTTATTTATTATTAATAAAAATGGGAATATATATTTCAAGGTTATGTAAATATTTCAGAGGAAAAGAATCAAAAGTTTATTAGTCACAAAATTCAGGAACAATGTCATTACATAAATCTAAAATATTAGTATAGAACAACTCTGATGGATATGATTCAGAGCCAGAATAACATTTTAATCATACTGAGTCACTTGTAAAAATTTAATGGAAGAAAGGAGAATTGATTGGATAAGGTTCTTTTGGGAGAGTTTATAAATGTATGGATATAAAGACTGGAAGAATATTAGCTGTAAAACAAATCGAATTAGGTTATGTGGACAAAGAAAGTTTAGAGTCGTTTCATCAAGAGATCAAAATACTTTAGCAACTGAAGCATAAAAATATAGTTGAATATTATGGATGTGACGAGGATAAAAATCATTTGAGCATTTTATTAGAATATGTAGGAGGTACCAGTGTGCATTATCAAATCAGGTGGCTCCATTTCCCACATGATGAAAAAATTCAAACTCAATCTATAAGAACCAGTCATCCAAAAATATGTGACAGACATACTCCATGGTCTTGTTTATTTACATAACAAGGGAATTATCCATCGAGACATCAAAGGAGCAAATATAATAGTAGATACCAAAGGCGTTTGTAAACTAGCAGATTTTGGATGTAGTATAATAGGGTCTAATGCATATTCATTAAAGGGCACTCCTAATTGGATGGCTCCAGAAGTAATAAATTCCTAAGAGACAGGAAGATATTCAGATATATGGAGTTTAGGATGTACAATCATAGAAATGCTAACAGGTGAACCTCCTTGGGGTAGATTCCAATCTCCTATGTAGGCATTGATAACCATTTCTTCAAAATAATGTTCACCACCCATTCCAAATAATATATCTTAAAATCTAAAGAATTTTTTAGATAAGTGTCTATAATTTGATCATAAAAAAAGATGGAAAGCTAAATAATTGTTATAACATCCATTTATAATTTCTATTCCAAAAAAATCATTAAAGACAGATTAATTTATGTTTTAACAGAAATCCACAGATTAGTATAATAATTTAGATCTGCATGTTGCACCCTAATTAGAAGATATAAAGAAAAATGAAGAATATTTAGATAAAGAATCTCATCATATGATACTTTCTAAACAATCTTCTGTGGTAAGTGATGAAAAACATTTATAGTATTGATCTTTTTATTTAGTTTACATTAATAATTACTATTTTATAAACAAATCATTTATGTATAAATAAATAAAGAAGAATAAATATATATCTTTCTTTCTTCTAGTTAATTTAAGATTCAGAAATAGATTGTATAATATTTATTAGAATATAAAAGGAATAATAATATGCAAAAATTCTGAAAATATATGATATATGTTCAAGTATTATTTTTGTTTCATTATTTACAATATTTATTTGCTTTAAGCTTTTATAGATTTCGTTTTACCTTTAAAAATCAAAATTTATATTTACATTCATTGTCATAGCATGCATAGTTCCTAAATGAATATCTAATAAAGTAATAGCAAACATATAACAATTTTCGGCTGCAAATAAATTACCATTCTAATGCAAAGCACATCCTAAATTATTAAATGTTATTGCATTCTCAATATTCTCATCACCTATTGAACTTTCTCTTATCATTCTTGCTTTCATAAATGCTCTTACAGCCAATTCATATTCTTACATATGATATAATACTGAACCAATACCACAATAAGGTCTAAAGTATATAAATTATTTTATACAATGCTTTATCTGGATGATCTGCTTATAATTTATCTGTATGAAATTTTACTCTAAGAAACTTATTCAAAGCTGCTTCATCTTATCCTGCTATCTCATATATCTATCCACCAAAATATTCGAAAAATACCATTTCAGAATCATGTAATTCTGTTAAAGACTACCATAATTCTTGTGCTTAATTTAAATTTTGCATTGCTAAGAAATAATTTTATTATGTAAATGACATCAATGAAGCTTCTACCATTGTTCTTACCTATTAAGGAGGATCATGTGGATAAAGACATTCTGGTAACATAACTGGAGCAACTGTTATATGACTTAACGTGCTTAATTCATTTAAATCTCTAAGTGGATTAGTTTACTTAGTTTTTTTTACAAAATCAATAAAATATTGATAAGTACATATTCTTGGTGGTTATACTAAAGGTTCCCATTCTAAAATATTAATAATTAATCAATACAATATTTCATTGGTTATTCTCCTTTTTTTAATTATTATTTAGGTTAAGGTTTATTCTTGTTTTTTTTATCTTCTTCTAATTTTTTAGCTAATTCTTCTCTTTTTTCTTTTTCTTTAATTGCTTTAATAAAATCTTAAGCCAAATCAACCTAAGATTTTAATTCTGGAAAAGGTGGTAAATCTTATTAAAAAAATTACCAAATTTCTTTAATATCTAATTGATCTGGTTTACGAGTAAGAAATAAATAATTTTATTATTTCATATCTTATTCTTCAGATTAAGGATTAATTTATTCTTAAATAAAATCATCTGTTTTATCTAACATTTCATAATATTTTTTAATTAAAGACAAATGTTTTGATTTATCTTCATGAACCCTATTTCCATTTTTTTATAATTCAATCATTTTTGTAAAGAATTTTATAATCAAAGGTGATATTTCTTTCTTTGAATCTTATTAAACTTCTCTGTTTGAAATATCAGCAGCCATTTTACATATTAAGAATTAGAATTCTAAATATGAAATCTTAGGATCTCCAGAATAATGTTATGGTTTAAATCTACCACTATTAATTGTTTCACATATTTATTATATCACATTAGATTAATAAAATTAATTTTCTTTTGGTGTAATTGCAGGTATAATTCTCATACAAATATCCTCAATATTTTCATAATTATAATGAACAGGATGAATGTTCATATCTTATAACATTTATATAAATGAAAATATTGGAATTCTGAGATTCATCAATTTAATTTCTTTCCAAGTTAACATGAGTTCATTTTTATAATAATTTTCAGGTAAATACATAGTAAACAAAGCTTGAATATCTTCTTAATATGTAATTATAGTCTTAATAACTTATTCATGTAATAATTTACGATTTGGATCATCAAGTATCAACATTCTGATTTATGTTTTTTTTTTATTATCTATGAAAATATCTTTAAGGATAAGATCTAAATATTTCTTTTATCCTTAATGTAATGCTTTACCTAAGGCATCTATCATTCTCAAGAATTTAGTTCTGCTAAATTTTGGTGTATCATCCTTTATTATATTTATTGGTTCTTTAACTCCTTTTTTTGGAGCTTAAGTAACTTTTTAGACTATTTCTTCTAAGGCAAAGTATTCTTAATATAAATTCAAGTAGAAATCAAAATTGAACTTTGCAGTTATCAATTCTCTTTCTAATAAGAAGGTCAAGAACTCATTAAATTTCATATTATTGCTCTCTGCTTTGCATATTACTTGATTAAATAAATCATCTAATCGTTTTTAATCTTCTAAACTCATTCCTGCAACAATTTATTATTCCTACATTATTATTATAATAATGTAATAATTAAGCGCTTATGCCTTGTAATTCAATTGAATCTATATATCAGACTATAAGAGTTTGAGAAACAAAATGAGCTAGAAATATTATCGATTAGAGATGAATTCTAAAAAGATATTACTTATTTATATGAAGTTTATGCAGACTAATCCAAATTTAAAGATGATGAATTACTTAAAAATCCATTTTTTTAAGATAATTTATTGACAGAGAATTCATTTCTATAAATTATCAAAAAAGGAGAGGTAGATACTCAAATAGGTAAAATTTAGATATTTTATATTATAGGTACAATGGGAACACCTTATGCTTTAACTTTAAATGAAAAGAATTTAAAAAATAAAGATGATCTTTATAAATTTATAGTAAGAAATTTAGAGAATACTTTCACACTTTAGGAGATAAGACATAATTCTTATACAATTAGTGTAAGTTTTTGTGAATCTTTAAAATCATTTATAATTTCATCAAGTGGATAAACTATAATATGTTAAGATAAGAATGATATATATAAATATCTTTAATTATAAGGATGTGAAAGGGTGTGTAAAGTTAGTTAATAATTCTTTGATGTTTATTAGAATATGGATTATAATCTTTAAATAAATTTAACTAAAGATCTTATACATAGAAGTTTAGTTGGATGTAGAAATTCATCCAATTTTATTGAATGGTATTCAATTATGGAACATTATAAGTCATAAAGAATATTATCACCTGATATTGTTAAAAGATTTCTTAATCATTACAATTTAGAACCTGCTAAATCAATTTAATAATAAACAAATTTATAAAAGTTTCCATTAATATATGATTCAATTTATAATTAATTAATAGATAAATATCATGATTATTTTAGAGGAAAAACTATTTATTTTTGGAAAGATGATAAATATTTAGGAAATTGTTATATTCCTTCAAAACATTTTTTAATTTTAAAGGAAATAAAAACTTAAGTATTTAATTCTAAATTTAATTCTCTTTAAAAAGAACCAAACAATTTTCTTTCATAATTTAATTTAAATCAATTAGAATATGAGTTTTATTAAAAATGCTTAAATTTTATATTAAGTATTCCTTATAATAAAAGATCTAATTATAGTTTTATGTAATTATCTAATATTGTTTTTAATTGTATTCATAAATAATTAGATTATATACCTTAAAAATTAGATTAATAAATTAGTCTTGCTTAATGTTTATAAAGTAAACCAATTATTATAGTATTAATTCCAGTAGGTATTAATGGAATGGGATATGATAATATTTGTTAAATTATATTTAAAATAAGTGAAGGTGTTAAAATAGTAAGTAAAACTCATGAAATTAATGATAATAATATGCTATATTTATATGATTAAATTTGTTCACTTAAAAAGTTACAATTAATAAATGATTAATTAAAATAACTTCCTTATGATGTTAGAACTGTTGCATTATATCCAGAATGTTCACATTATTATTTATCTAAAAAGAAATATAGATTTCCATTCTCTTTTAAATTTATTATGTTTTGTTTATTATAAGTATTAGAGGATAGAGATTAAGTTAATTAGATAATTAATTAATTAAAAGAATTTGAAAATCAGAATTTCAATCATCTTCCATCTGATTATTAAATTAGTTGTAATTATATGCCAAAAAATAAGGAAACTGATGATCTATATAGTGAAATAGTTGAGTCAGATTTCAAAGCAGCTTTTTCATTAACAAATGATTATTTGATAGAAAGTTTATCTTAATATAAAGATTCAGTAGGATATATTCCTGAAAATCATTTGTGGGATTAAGCAAGGAAGATAATTAATGAAATAGAAGAGAAAGTTAAAGTAAATATAACAAAAAAAAAATAAAAATATATTAAAAGTTAAGCCAATAAAATATAATATGGATTGTATATTTAAAATCCTAATTGGGAAGAAATTGATAATTTTATTTTTGATTGTTTGGAGATTATTTTATAGAATTATCCAAGAGATACTTAAATCAATATTATGTATCAATAATTGAAATAATAATTATTTTAAAGAAAAAACTTATAATTCTATTTAAGAGAAAAGTAACCATATATGTTATCGTAAAAATAAGAATAAAAATAATGGTCTGTATAGTTATAAGTGGCTATAATTGTAATAGATGGAATCATAATATTATAACCTTAAGATTTAGGGTTAAATCTTTTATAAGATATTCCAATTTATTCTAATAATCTTGAAGTAACAAAATCATAGAAGATAGCTAACTTAGTAAGAAAGAATGTAGAGAAACTTTAGGATAACAGTATAAAGGAGGGAACTTTAATTAAGTAGGATATAAATATGAAACATTAAAGTTGGAATGTATTTATAGTCAAATGGAAACCAATAAATATTAAATTAATTGAGAATTTAGGGATTTGATATTTTTATTATTTAATTTTATTAAAATGGGTTCAGAAAAGTAAATAATTATTTTCATAAAAGACATAAAAAAGAAAAGAAAGAGAAAAAAGATAAGAAGGAAAAGAAAGAGAAAAAAGAAAAGAAAGAAAAAAAAGAAAAAAAAGAAAAGAGAGTAATTGCATCTTTTATTAATGATAATAGGAATCAGATGTAGGTAAAAAGAGATCAAGAAATGTGAGTAAAGAAAAAGAAAAAAAGAGAGATGAATTTTAAAAACCTAAACCACTTAATAAAACAAATGCAGAATAATCAAGGGGGTAATTATAATTAAATAAATTGGAAGATTTCGTTTTGATTCTCCACCAAAGGATCCTTTATAAAATACTCCTTTTTCAAATTTCAAGAGCAAATTAATAGATCAAGTGTCTTTAGGAGAATTTGAGAGTATTAATTTGAAATTAATTTAGCTATTCTTCCTGCAAATCCTCTTTAAAATCCTTTAGCTTCTTTAGAAGCTCTTTAAGCAATGACACCATTAATTTAAATGCAAAGATTATAATAATTAAGAGCTTAAGCAGATGTAAAGGCTGATAGAAAACTATATGTTGGAAATTTACCACCAAATAGTCAACCAAAAGAAGTATTAATTTTAATAGATATATTAAATATAGCTTTAAGATTTTTTAAATTAAACATTATTAAAGATGGGTGTTAGTTCTGAACATGCAGGTTCTATATGTAATTGTTGGATTGATTCAAATGGTTTAATATTTTAATTTTATTTATATAGGACATTTTGGTTTCATTGAATTTAGATCTCCTGAAGAAGCTACATAAGGTTTCATTTTGAAAGATGTGATTTTTAAAGGACATTAATTGAAAATTGGTAGACCAAAATCATTTTTAACTTCTTTAGCAGCTGTAAATTAATAAATGATGAGTGAATAAGCATGTAATTGTGTATTAATAAATTAAGTTAATCCTTTGAGTAGTATGAAAGGAAATGATAAAGACTCATCTTCACTTATTAGTTTTAGACCACTTAAGTTAATGGCTAGATATGTGTAAATACCTACTAATATTTTAGTTATTAAAAATGTGTTGACTCTTGAAGATGTTTAATATTTATACAATATATATAGGTTACAATAGATGAAGAATTTAATGATATAATGGAAGATATAAAAGAAGAATGTTCTAAATTTGGAACTGTTAAAAATATTATTATTCCAAGACCTGAATTTGGTAAAATAATTGTTGGAGTTGGCAAAATCTTTGTAGAATATGAAAAGACATAAGAAGCTAGAACTGCAAGAAGATATCTGGCTGGTAGAATGTATGGTGATAAAACTGTTGAATGTGAATATTTATCAAGAGAAAAGTGGGCAAAAAGATAATTTACAGATCTCAATGAAGATATTTTAAGAGATAGAGAAGAACAATAAAGATTAGATTAATTAGAATAAGAAAGAATAAAAAAATAAATGTAAGAAGAAATGTTTCAAGGGAATTGATTTAAATATACAGACAAAAATTTTATTATTAAGTTTTATACAAATAATTAAATTTATAAACAATTAAATTCTTTAAAATTTAATGATCTTTTTCCTATTTATTACTTCTATTTTCTCATTATATCAAATAATAATTATAATATTTATATAAATAATATAGATAATATAAATTTATAATTAAATATATATATAAATTAATTGTCAAGTATTTCATGTGTTATCTCAACTTACTTTAGAGTATATAAAATCAACATAAACTTTAAATTGATTTTAAAGTATTTTAAATCCATGATTTTCTATAACAGGTTTCAATACTGTCTCATCATATAATCCAAGTATTGGCATTTTATCAGTAATCTAAAATTTAGGATCTTTATTATTAATAGTAAATTTAACATCAGCTACATTACGTTTTGTGAAATCCAAAATTGGTACTTATTCAATCTAATTTTATTAATATATAATAAATTACATTAAATTTCATATCTTTTGAAATAATCTACAAATTTTTGAATTTGTCTATAAATAAATATTAAAGAAGAGAAACAAAAATTTTTAATGGTTCTCCAAATGGTTTAAGTAATTCTTACCAACCATTCATAGAAAATATTGATTCATATAAAAGTTATTATACATAAGCATATTCTATAAAAGCCATTTTTTATTGATCAATAGAAGTGAATCTAAAATAAAACTTATAAAGTACTTTAATTTTCTTTTGTAATTTAATTGTAATCTTTATGTGACAAAAGCTGAATGAGATGGAAATAAATATCCTTCATTTGTAGTAAATGCTTGTATATATGACAAATGTTATTTATCAAACTTGATAGATTATGTTATAATGATTAATTGCTTAATTAAAGTATCTGCTGCTTAGATTAAAGTATTTATTCGATCTGGAACATCTTTATTTTCAGTGAAAATCCATGATTTTTTGAATAAGGAAAGTTTTTGACCTTCTCTAACAAATTATGATATGACGTTTGCATATAACTAATATAATAATAATTATTTACAAATTGCTCATTATATTAATGATGTTAATCTTGAAATCTTTTAATTGCCTTATTTTCCAGTATTTGATAATATTTATTTTTATAAAATATAATCATCCAAGCACAATATTTTAGTTTTTTTTTTAATTTTTTTAATCTTTCTGGTGTTGGTTTTATTTTCAATGGTTATAGTTTAATTTTTGAATTTTAATTTAATAATGGTAGTTATTATTCTTATGATTTAATGTAATGATTTTTATTTTATTTTATTTTTACTGGTTCACGTAATTCTTATTCATATCTAGAACTTTTACTAAGATGTTAATCTGAATTATCTTTGTGAGATATATGTTTAACTCTTAAATATCTTCTAGATTTCATTTTTTATTAATTATCTGGATCATTCTTTGTATTTTTTAATAATTGAGACAATATCTGATTTAATTGATCTACTTCTTCTTTTTTTTTAGCAAAATCTTTCAAGAATTTACTAAAACCTCTTTCTTCATTTTAAGGTTGTTGTACAGGTATGTTTTGGAAAGGGTAATACTAATAATAAGGATTTTGATTAAGAATTGGATAAGACATTGGTATTGAATTATAGGGTTGATGATAATTATAGGGATGTTATTATTAAGGTATAAATGGAGGAAGAAAAGGTGCTTAAGGAAGTTTTGGACCATTCTCAATTTATTTAAGTTATTTCTTTAAATGCTTTATTTCATCAAGCAATTAATTATTAAGTCTTTCACTTTCATTTGAGTATTTATATCTATCTTATAATAAATATTATTACTATTATGTATTTGAAACAACTTTCATTAATGCATCTACTTATTATTACTGTTCATTTAATCTTTTCTACAACTTATAAATTTAACTTAAGTTCCATTCAGTTTCTTTTGTGAATTCTTCAAGAGAATTTAAAGGCTTCATATTTACATAACTTTAAGGAAGTTATGGTATATTTAGATTCATTAAAAATAAAATTTGTAAAAAACAGTTCATTTATAAATCCAATTGCTATCAAAACAATTTGGAACAGTGTCAAATGTTAAAAATATCAATTTAAATGGACAAAATTTTAATCTTATAAGTATCAACATTATTGAGACACTTCCTCTAGAACTTATTTAGCTGGACATGGCTATTTATATTTAGGATCAAATTCTTTAAAATATTCAGAATTATATTATCCTTGATAAGAAGGATTCAATTAATATTAAGTTTATTCTTTAAAATTTGTAAATTTATCTGTTCGATAAGGCTAATATGAAGATTTTGTAACCGAAATTCCATTAAATTTCATATTAGGAGGAGATAAAGGTGATCTTACTCTAATTATATATATACTTATTGCAATGAAAACCTTTGGTACTTTATGCAGGTTAAACTTATGCTCCTTAGAAACATTCTCTATAATTGGTTCTTCCAAAAAATGGAAGATCTCTAATTACTGTAGGATTCTTTTATGATAATAATGGAACAGTATCTCCACTACCCCAATTTAAATACATATTATTATAAGTAGAAAGACCACAAAATGGTCCACTACGTAAGACAGATTAAGGAGAAGTACTCTTAAATCTAAAATTGGATTGGCTTCCCAAAAAATCATGCTAAAAGAATCATTAAATACTAAATACCTTATATGTTGATACATTTCCTATATCTCCTTCTTATTTAGGATTATCAAAAAGGTTTTAATTATAATGAGCACTTTAATCTGGTGATTTATGAACATATTCCCTTTAATATATACTTCTATTTCCATGCATAGATGGTCTATTTCTACATTATTTTCCTTCACATTAATGTCTGCCACAATTACAAATAGAACAAATACATTATCCTATCATTTTTTATTATCTATACCTCCCAAATGTTCAAAATATTATTAAAATTGTTGTTCTTCTTTATTTACTCCATTTTTTTATCTACTCATTAGTCTCTCAACCAACTATTTTATTTTAGACTAATGTTAATACTTTAGTTTAAGTGTCTGTTAGATCACCTCTAGGAGATGACAATTTAGATCCTTATTTATTACTTCGAGATCTTATAATTATTTTTTATTGGGGCATAATTAACTATGATATTATAATTATCACTTTCTATTATTGAGAATTAGTAACAATCACATTTATATATCAATTATACATTCATAATTGATGTATGATATTATTAAACAAAAACTGAAACTTCATTATAATTCATCAAATTTTACAAATCAAGTTTAATCAACTCATATTCACCATTTTTTTGATAAAATTATGATAAGATCAAATCATCCCAAAATATTGTAGATTAATTAAATAAAAAGAATAAACTAATTATTTACAAATAGATATTCTAAAATAAATGTGGATCTCAATTTAGATAGCCCTGAATATTCTATATATTAAAAATGATTGCCACTGAATCTTTTTTAATTTACTTTAATTAAAAACATAATTCAAATGATAATTTATTTGGATATAAGCAATTACATTAACAACATTTATCATTTATAATATAATTGAAATTATTTAAACATAATCTGAATTTTAGAATATAGATTATAAATAAAATATAATAAAAGCAAAATATTGATTATTATTAATGATTTACATAAAACAATATATAAAATATTTAAATATAAATATTTATTAATTCATTTTTCCAATTCTGATTTATTGATTTATTATAATAATAAAATTTAATAATTCTTATTTTATTAAATATTTCTAATTAGATTATGATATATTTATTATAATTATTGTATTTTTGATTCAATTATCATAAGATTTAATACTCTTTATCATTATTTTTATAGTTATTAATAATAATATAATGATAACATCATATATAATTAGATTGAAATGATTATTAATTATTAATAATTGATATAAAATTAGGAATGGAACCGTTTGCAATTCTTACAAATATTATTAAACCTGAATACTTAAACTACTATAAAGATTGGATCTATATAGCAAGTGAAAAAGAAGCCAGAGGACTTTAATTGATTGGTGCAATTTATAAACATAAAGGAAGAAAACTATTTAGGTTAAATCTATATTAATATAATAGAGCTAAACCTCCTACAGTCTAATTATAAGAATTAACTGATCAATAAGAATTAGAGTAATAATTTTGAATTATTTTTTTATAGCTTTAAGAAGGCTGAAGAAATGCATAGAAAAAATTAAACTTCAACAACATATGGTACAGAATTTGGATATTTACAAAAATTATTAAAGCCTTAAAACAATGTTTTCAAATTCAAGAAATGTTCTGAACTTGAATTTGCTTAACCTCTTAATGATTTGGCAAAATTATTTTTAGATAATTGGATTGAGATGAATGATGAGTTAGAATTTTAAGAATTAGTATTGAATTGTTTAAGAGCTTTGTTTAGCAGATTTAAAGCATAATTAGTGCCAAAAACTGAAATGAAGTTATTTTATTATTATTATGATTTTAGAGTAAAATATGAATACAAACCAGATTGGAAACTTTCAAATCCTATTAGAGTAGATAAAGCAGGAACAGATATCAAGTAATATAATTTATTATTAGATAGTGCTTACAAAACTAATTATAATGCAATTTTTAAATAGAGGCTTAAATAAGAATAGATTAAATAGAAAATTGCAGAATTAGATGGAACCGATTTTGCCAAGGCTCTAACAATCCATAAATCATTCAAAATAAATTGATTTAAAATATTAATAAAGATATGAGAGGATTAATTTATAATATCTTAGTTTTTATTTGTATCTATCTTTGATGAATCATATTTGAATATTAATTTTCTTTTTTGCTAATTCAGCCTTATATTTATCAGGTATTGAATTATCATTAAGTCCTTTCAATTTCTGTTCCTTAATATTTTCTAATAATTTCTTTTCATTTATCATTTTATCTCTAATTTTTTTACCTTCTTCAAGCCTATAAAATTAATAATAAAATATATACTTATCTCTTTCTTCTTACTTTCTCTTCTCTTCATTCATTGATATCTATTTTCTTAACTCTTCTGCATGTTTTTTGACCATTTATTCTTTCTCTTACTGTAACCTTAGTTCGTTTTCACGTTCTTATTTTTACTTTTAAATAACTCTTTGGAATTCATCCCTTTCAAGTCTAGCCTTGATTCAATATTAAGGTAAAGTACTTATTCTTCTAATTTATCTTATTTTTCATTCTACTATACTTATCTTGCTTAATACAATTCTTAATTTAATTTTTATCTAAGTTCTGCTTCCCTTCTTTCTTTTTCTCTAGCAGCTCTTTCATTTTATTCCATAGCTCTTTTTGCTCTTAATAAATCCAATTCAGCTTATCTATCTTAAGCTTTTTCTTGCATTTCTCTTAATCTTTAAACATCTCTTTCTCTTTCTTCTTTTATTCTTTTCTATTCTTCAATTATTTCAGCTTCTTTTTAAGCCTTTTCTAAATTATATTTTGCAATTTTCTCTTCTTCTTCTTTTTCTTCCAATCTTCTTTTTTCTTTAACAACAATAGCTTTCGAATTAGCTTCTAAAATTTCATCTTGTAATTTCTTCTACATATGCTTTCTTTATTGATTTTTTTATTGATCTTCAATTTGAACTTATTTAATTTATTTAATCATAATTTATCCTTCTCTTTCCTATTCTTCTTTTTCCTTAAGTCTAATTAATTCTCTTTCTTTAATTTATTCTACTATAATTCCATGACCTTATTTTAATTCTTATTTATGTTAAACATCTTTTTCTTCATAATATTTAACTGATTTAAGTCTTTCAATTTCCATCATAAGATCTTTTCTTTTCTCTTAATTTTTAAATTCTTCTTTCAATTATTGTTTTTCTTATAATTATTTATCTCTTATTGTAACACATTTGGCATACATAACCATCTTATTCATCTCTTTAACATCATCTAATTGTTCATTCAAAATCTCTGCAGCCTAAATTCAAATATAATTAGATACTCTTGCATTAAGACTATCCTTTACTACTTTATCTTCCTATTATTATGTTGTCAAAGGTATTTGCTTCTTTTTTTCTTCTTCTAATTATATCATTCTTTATTTCTTAGCTTTAGCTGCTGTCATTTACTTTTCCTTCTGTTCCTCTAAGAGTTTCTTCTAATATAATTGTTCTTCCTTAGTTTTTACAATAGCATTATTCTAATATTAAAGATTAAATAAACTTTCATTCTTTATAATTCTGCTTCTCCTATTAAAACAACATCTGGATTTGAATTGTCTCCTTTTCTAACACTCTGAATTACTTTAGCAGTTTTAGCATCATTTCTTTTATTGCTTCCTTTTATGTAATTAGTTTTAATTTGATACCAAAAAGGGATTCATCAACTTCACTCTTTCTACTTTTGCAAGATGCTGGTCTACTCATTTTACTCTTGAGGATTATAAATATACATATATACCATTGATTTTAAAATTTCTTATAAAATAAATATATCAAATAAGTTAACATTTGCCACAGCAATTTTAATTCTCTGATAAAGAAAAATTATGACGCAATAAATCCACTAAATATATTATATATATCTCTACCTTTTTCTTAAAATTTTTCTATTTCAATTTATTAATGTTGGAATTCGTACCAATCACCTATTGTACCTTAAACCATTTATATCATTTTTAATAATAATTATGCACATTATTACTTTTCTGCATTTTAGAACTGTGGATTCAGTTTAATTATGTTTCCATTAAAATCCATGTAATTTTGAATATATTCTTATAATTCATCAGAACTTTCAGCCAATTGCTTTGCTTCATAATACCTAATTATAAGCTAGAGTTTACAAGCTCTTGACTTAAATTTCAGAAAGTGGAGGAAGTGCTTTTAAAAACTGTTATTGATTAAAATGGTCTAAAATAAGATTTGTATTTGTAATGATTTGTTAAATAAATTGATTCCCTTAAACTTCAAAATTATTTGGATATCTATTCTTAAAGTCCTAACCATTCCAAAATTCATACATTTATCAACAGATATATTAATATCAAATAAGAAAATTAATAATTTTTATTTTCTAATATTTTTTAGATCACTATATTTATATTAATATATTCTTAAAAATGAAAAATATAAAAATTAAATCAAACCATAGAGCTTTATCTTAATATCATTTGGAAGTTCTCAGTTGATCTAACAGAATTAATTTATTTTGTAAATTCTGCTAAAGATTTCTTTTCTGGTTTTTAATGATTTTATTCTGCTTTACTAACAAATCCTTAATGTACATCATATTTTAACTATTTTGATTCAGGTGTAATACATTAATTTTAAGGAGTTGTATTCCTAATATATTGAGGACTAACAGAATCTTCACTCTTTCCTTAATCTCTCAATATTCTTTTAGATAATTAGGGTTATTACAACCTTTATGAGTGATCAGAACGATCCCGTCCTCTTTAATGTAATTAAAATTATTTAAATAATCCAGTTGGAGAATTAGAATCTAACCAATCTAATTGAGAGATCTCCATAACATTTGAATCCTTACAATTTAATACATTACTAATGCATAATTCTTTCTTTTTCCCACAATCATTTTTAGGTTTAAGAGATACAATACAACCTCCACTTCCTTAATCTGGTTTATTATTTTCTTTATCTTATTATGGTTTCTTTTTTTTAGGTTTCACAATAACACTACTCTCTTATTGTTATTATAGAGCATCTATTTATTATTCCAAATCAATAAGTTCATTTTCTTAAACTTAAGCTTATTGTTATATCTTAAGTTCTAACTATTCTAAATAGTTTTTTAAGTATCTATTCTCCTTTTCTAATGAGGATAAAACAGTAGTATTTCTATTTTTAGATTCTATCAACTCTTGAGAATATTATTCTAAAGTCTGCTATAATTGTTTATACACTAAACTCTACAAGTATAGGACTTTAACTTTACATTCTATTTATTAACATCATTTTGCATTGAATTATAAGCATTTAGAATAGTTTCATTAAATATTTTGTAACCATCTTCTCTCTCCTTTAATTCTTATAACTATAACTCTAGTAATTAATTCTACTATTCAAGTAAAGCCTTTTCAGTCTTCTGATCCATTATATAATTTAAAATTTAACGACTAATAATTTATTTAATGAATCAATTATCTCAAACATTTCATCCTACAAAACTCTTTTCCAATTTAAATTTAACATTTTTTTATTCTCTTCTTTCTCTTTTTATAAATTGATCTATAATTCATTCTTATAAAATAAGTTATGTTCACATTTTTATTTATCTTAAAATTACATAATTATTTATTTCATAGATATTTTAATGATGACTTGACTAGACAATTTTAAAATATCTAACAATTATTTAGTTTTTATTTTAAAATTTCAAATCTCTACTATTCAATTAATTTTTCAAGTGTATCTTATTAATATTATTATTAGTATTAAATAGAAATTCTCGATTATCGAAATTTAACTTAATGAAATGTATTTCTTCATAGTTCTTATTGTCATATATAAATTTTGAAATTAAATTATCAACTTTTATAGATATAGGTTTTACTATTATTTCAAAACGTTTTGTTGATACCCAAATTCTATCTAAGTATTCAAATCACAAGTTTATCCAAGAATATGCATATTAGACAGTATGAGATATATAATAAATCAAAAATCATTTTATTGTAACTAATTAAAATAAAATAGATGTATAATTCTTTTTTTTTGTTGTATGAATTTGTATTAGTTGAAATCAGAATTATAGAATAATTAACTTAGCTTATTTTTAATAAAACTATTTTTATTTGTGTAAAATATATTAATTAAATTAATGTAATCATAAGGATAAGCACCATTATAAATAGAACATTATATAATAGGGAAAACTTTGGGTGTAGGTGCCTTTGGAAAAGTGAAGTGTATGTGATATTGANCAACCTCCACTTCCTTAATCTGGTTTATTATTTTCTTTATCTTATTATGGTTTCTTTTTTTTAGGTTTCACAATAACACTACTCTCTTATTGTTATTATAGAGCATCTATTTATTATTCCAAATCAATAAGTTCATTTTCTTAAACTTAAGCTTATTGTTATATCTTAAGTTCTAACTATTCTAAATAGTTTTTTAAGTATCTATTCTCCTTTTCTAATGAGGATAAAACAGTAGTATTTCTATTTTTAGATTCTATCAACTCTTGAGAATATTATTCTAAAGTCTGCTATAATTGTTTATACACTAAACTCTACAAGTATAGGACTTTAACTTTACATTCTATTTATTAACATCATTTTGCATTGAATTATAAGCATTTAGAATAGTTTCATTAAATATTTTGTAACCATCTTCTCTCTCCTTTAATTCTTATAACTATAACTCTAGTAATTAATTCTACTATTCAAGTAAAGCCTTTTCAGTCTTCTGATCCATTATATAATTTAAAATTTAACGACTAATAATTTATTTAATGAATCAATTATCTCAAACATTTCATCCTACAAAACTCTTTTCCAATTTAAATTTAACATTTTTTTATTCTCTTCTTTCTCTTTTTATAAATTGATCTATAATTCATTCTTATAAAATAAGTTATGTTCACATTTTTATTTATCTTAAAATTACATAATTATTTATTTCATAGATATTTTAATGATGACTTGACTAGACAATTTTAAAATATCTAACAATTATTTAGTTTTTATTTTAAAATTTCAAATCTCTACTATTCAATTAATTTTTCAAGTGTATCTTATTAATATTATTATTAGTATTAAATAGAAATTCTCGATTATCGAAATTTAACTTAATGAAATGTATTTCTTCATAGTTCTTATTGTCATATATAAATTTTGAAATTAAATTATCAACTTTTATAGATATAGGTTTTACTATTATTTCAAAACGTTTTGTTGATACCCAAATTCTATCTAAGTATTCAAATCACAAGTTTATCCAAGAATATGCATATTAGACAGTATGAGATATATAATAAATCAAAAATCATTTTATTGTAACTAATTAAAATAAAATAGATGTATAATTCTTTTTTTTTGTTGTATGAATTTGTATTAGTTGAAATCAGAATTATAGAATAATTAACTTAGCTTATTTTTAATAAAACTATTTTTATTTGTGTAAAATATATTAATTAAATTAATGTAATCATAAGGATAAGCACCATTATAAATAGAACATTATATAATAGGGAAAACTTTGGGTGTAGGTGCCTTTGGAAAAGTGAAGTGTATGTGATATTGATTAAGTATAATAGTGGCTAAACACAATATCACAAATACATAAGTGGCAATTAAAATTATTAATAAGAAAAAGATGAAGAATTCAAGAATGGGTGCTAAAATTAGAAGAGAGATACGACTTTTAAGATATTTTAATCATCCAAATGTGATCAAACTATATGAAGTACTTGATACTCCTGGAGACATCTTTGTAGTAATGGAGTATGCAGAAAGAGGTGAATTATTCGATTTAATTGCCTAAAGAGGTAAATTGCCAGAGGGAGAGGCTCGTAATTTCTTTTTATAAATATTAAGTGGGGTTGAGTATTGTCACAATAATCTTGTTGCTCATCGAGATCTTAAACCTGAAAATATATTGATAACTCATAATTATATTGTAAAGATAGCAGATTTTGGACTTAGTAATTTAATGAAAGATGGTAAATATCTCAAAACATCTTGTGGGTCTCCTAATTATGCAGCTCCAGAAGTGATTTCAGGTAAAACTTACTGTGGATCAGATGCAGATGTATGGAGTTGTGGAGTTATTCTGTTTGCATTGTTAGCTGGATATTTACCATTTGATGAAGAAACTACATAAGCCTTATTTAAAAAGATTAAGACAGCTGATTATACAATTCCTAATAGTTTCAGTCCTTAAGTGAGAGATTTGATTAATAGGATGTTAACACCAGATCCATTAAAGAGAATTAAATTTCATGAGATTCATTTACATCCTTATATGAGGAGTAATTAGGTGCCATTTTATTTATAGATTCCATTTAAATTAGATGAAGGGAGAAGATAAATTAATGATGAAGTTTTTGATAAATTAATGTAATTGCCTTCTGTTAATGTAAAAGGAATATCTCATAATTAAATCTAAAAAAGTATACGTAAAAGAGAAGATAAATCATTTGTTGTGATATATGATCTACTTTTAGGATAGATGGGAATAGAATCATCAACTCCTATGACTCTCCATAATTTAACAAAACAGGATTTAATATTTAATCCTCAAATACCATAAGTAGAAGGATAATCTTTTGATAATGTTTTATTAACAGAAATTCAAAAGCCTGCTCCATATGATTATGGAAAGGAACTACCCAAAGATATCATGGCTATTGTTTATCCATATTAAGCTAGATAAATTGTTAATGCAATTTATACTTGTTTAGAGAAGTTTAATACTGTAATCAAGATCAAGAGTCCTGATTATAAATTAAAGTGTTATCATAAGAATTTGATAAAAATGACTAAATATAATTCTAGTGTTGAATTGTTTAATGAATTTTAAAAAGAAGGAGATGAAGCAGGATCTAAGAATGATTTAGCATCTCTTAATTTTAAAGAGGAAAATAATAATAAAAAACCAAAAACAAAAGAAAATAAATATTCACCAAAAGAAATAATATTCAACATTTAAATTTACAAAGTATTTTATATACTATTTATATTTTAGATGCCTTCTAATAATAATGATCATATGATCGATTTCTAATTATGCAGAGGACATCCTGTAGTTTTTATGGATTTTTGCAATAAAGTTATAGCATTGCTTAATTAGCACTTCAATTAATTTTGATAATTTTATATTCAAAACATTAATATTATAATTAAAAATGGTTCTATAATTTATTAATATAATTAAAAGAAAATTAATATGAATACTTTTTATAATAAACTTCTAGTTTATAATAAACAGTAATATTTAAAGTAAATTTGAATTAATTTTTTCATTCATTTATTTTATATATAAATTAATTATCATTTATTGCTTGTTTTTTTGATTTTTTTACTAACTCCTGGTATTTATTATTCATCTTTAAGTTTCTTCAAATAATCATCAATACTACGTTCTAACTCATTTGCACATTTAAAATATATTGTATCTGGTTGATTGTAATTTCTACAATTTGTAAATATCCTTTTAACATCTTTAATAAATAGATCTTTGGATGTATATTAATTGGACTATAATTTCTTTTCTATAGTTTTGATATCAATAGGATCTGTTATAACATCATAATAATCAGGAACATCATCTTTATTAACTGGATCTAAGAAAGGCCAAGCTGATTTATGTTTTCTCATAGTGTCTATAATTTATTAACAAGAAATCATAAAGGTTTTTTCTTTTTGTTTTTTGAGTTCATTATAATCATCTAATGTCCATCCACTTTCTAAAATGCCTTATATACTCTCAGGTTTGACAGTAGGCTTATCAGAGTTGGAATTTTCAACTTTGTAATTCTGTTTATCTAATCCAGGGTATACTCTATCATTTAAAGTCAATTTCTTGATAATATCTATCATTTGCTAACATTAAACTCAATCTTACCTGCTTTTACTCTCTAATTAAATCACTTATATTGCCATAATCTATAGTTGAATGTACATAACATTCCATTAAGGTACCTCCATCATAATCTTTAATAAATCCTTTCCATCTTTCTGGTTACATTTTGATTTCTTAATAGAATCCTTACTTTCTAAAGTATCCAATTGCATAATTGTCAGCATAAGTGAGTAAGTATTCTACATCTTGTTTTTGGATATGTTCTTTGAATTTATTCATTAATCTAGTTCCATAACCCTTTACTTATAGTGTGGCAGTAATAGCCAAGAATGCTATCTCAGCAAATCGTTAAGTTGGATACTTTCTATAACAGATTCCTCCAATCACTTTAGTGTTATCCTAAATTAATAGTTTTGATGAAATACTTTTATTATACACATGGATTCATGATTTCTATCAAATACTAATCTAACAATATATTCCTTAGGCATTTTTGGTAATTATCTAGCAAAGATGTTTTTGAGATCAATCAACATCTTCATACTCTCATGAGTTCCATCATTGGTAATTATTTTGAATTCAATCAAACCTTGATCTTCTTCAACTTTGGCACCTTGATCTCGATTTGTGAATCCTAAACCTGTCTATTCACCATTCATTCCCACAAATTATTGAGACATAAATAAATATCAGACAAATTAAATCATATCTAATTCCCGCAAATCACAATGATCCAAAAATTTTATACTAACTAACTCTATCCAACTTATCTCATTCCTCTATTCTTTGTACATCAATCTCTAAACCTCTTTATTGGTTAAATTCACCTAAATAATACTAAGTTATTGAATGATAACATAAATATCTAACAGTTGAAAATTAATATCAATACTATCAAAATAGACTAAAAGAACAAGAAATAAATGGAATTATTAACCATATTCTATTTTACATCTTCATAATCTTTATATAAAATTTAAATGATCTAAAAAAATTAGAAATGAGATACAATCATATCAAAGAGTATAAGCTATCTGCTAATATGATATTCATTAATTAAGCAGAACATTAAACTTGAATCATCATATTTTAATGATTGTTAAATCCATATCTATACTTCCTAATAAGTTTTATATAGAATAGCCTATTAAAACATTAGTATATATTATAGATATTAGAACTTATATTTATTTTTAAAAGAACTAATTGATGTGAATTACTCTCTGTAATATGTTCACATTTGATTAGTTAAAAACATGAAAATTCTGATATTATTACAATCCACTTTATAATTAAATGTTTATTAATAAATCTATTAAATATAAAATATGTACTCTAACATATGAAAGTTTAACTATATAATATATTAACTTATTCATTATATTATTTATATAAGAATATACTCATATAATATATATAATTCACTACTTCATTTTAAATGAAAATGGAATACATTTATTATGAATAATATTNCTAAAGTATCCAATTGCATAATTGTCAGCATAAGTGAGTAAGTATTCTACATCTTGTTTTTGGATATGTTCTTTGAATTTATTCATTAATCTAGTTCCATAACCCTTTACTTATAGTGTGGCAGTAATAGCCAAGAATGCTATCTCAGCAAATCGTTAAGTTGGATACTTTCTATAACAGATTCCTCCAATCACTTTAGTGTTATCCTAAATTAATAGTTTTGATGAAATACTTTTATTATACACATGGATTCATGATTTCTATCAAATACTAATCTAACAATATATTCCTTAGGCATTTTTGGTAATTATCTAGCAAAGATGTTTTTGAGATCAATCAACATCTTCATACTCTCATGAGTTCCATCATTGGTAATTATTTTGAATTCAATCAAACCTTGATCTTCTTCAACTTTGGCACCTTGATCTCGATTTGTGAATCCTAAACCTGTCTATTCACCATTCATTCCCACAAATTATTGAGACATAAATAAATATCAGACAAATTAAATCATATCTAATTCCCGCAAATCACAATGATCCAAAAATTTTATACTAACTAACTCTATCCAACTTATCTCATTCCTCTATTCTTTGTACATCAATCTCTAAACCTCTTTATTGGTTAAATTCACCTAAATAATACTAAGTTATTGAATGATAACATAAATATCTAACAGTTGAAAATTAATATCAATACTATCAAAATAGACTAAAAGAACAAGAAATAAATGGAATTATTAACCATATTCTATTTTACATCTTCATAATCTTTATATAAAATTTAAATGATCTAAAAAAATTAGAAATGAGATACAATCATATCAAAGAGTATAAGCTATCTGCTAATATGATATTCATTAATTAAGCAGAACATTAAACTTGAATCATCATATTTTAATGATTGTTAAATCCATATCTATACTTCCTAATAAGTTTTATATAGAATAGCCTATTAAAACATTAGTATATATTATAGATATTAGAACTTATATTTATTTTTAAAAGAACTAATTGATGTGAATTACTCTCTGTAATATGTTCACATTTGATTAGTTAAAAACATGAAAATTCTGATATTATTACAATCCACTTTATAATTAAATGTTTATTAATAAATCTATTAAATATAAAATATGTACTCTAACATATGAAAGTTTAACTATATAATATATTAACTTATTCATTATATTATTTATATAAGAATATACTCATATAATATATATAATTCACTACTTCATTTTAAATGAAAATGGAATACATTTATTATGAATAATATTGTACTATTAAAGTATTCTTTAATTTAAATATAATCCTTCTAGTATACTTAGTTCAAATTTATTATAAATATTGATTTTTAGATTATCACAATTTTAAGGCTATAATTTATATATAATTATATTATTTATTTTGTATTTTTGTGGAATCAAATTCATTAAATACACTATTAGTTATACAATTATTTTTAGTTCTCCATAAAATTTTTATTCTTATGTAAATTAATGAAAAGTGTATTGAATATGACTTGACCATTTTATAAATTAATTTATTAATTATAAAATATGGATTAGAATATACAATTGATGCAAGTATGCTCAAATGACGAAATCCTTATTTAATGTAGTGACATGTTCCTAAGTTCAGATGGATTTTATCCACCTTTCATAAAAATGAAGTTCATGCAAAAAATATTATTAGATCTTAATTGCAAATAGAAAATATGATTTTTCATATCTTTCCAGTTTAATTTGATAACGATGATATGCAAATACTCAATCAATAGGAAATTATACAATACTCACAAGATATAGTAATACAATTAGCTAAATCTAATAAATTTATTTGTGTTATTGTGCATAATGACAAATGTATACTCTCCTTAACTAATATTCTTGATAGAACAACACTATTCAGAATATAGCCTTGTTATAAATCTTAAATTTAAGTAATCGATCCTTATTATTAAAGAATTCCAATAAAGTTTCCTTTGATGATGATATATTTTTGATGTATTCTCCTGAAAACATTACATTGTAAACTCTAGAATAACAATCAGATTTATTTGTAAATGTTAATGAGAATATGCAACAAACTTCTGATTTTATAATATAAACAATGAAATAAACAACATTCAAATTGAAAAAGCATATCAAAGATAATTAGTCTACTTCATTTTGTTATGGCAGTCTAATAAAAATAAAATAAATAGAAAGAGACTCTTATTTAGAATTGACAACTAATGAAAATATTCATTAGAATCCTCATAATAACAATTTACATATGACTGATGTGTAAACTCAATATTAGCGAATTTATTCAAAAAATAAAACTGTTTTTTGGAGATCTGGTGAAAGAAATTAATAAAATATAGATTTATTACTTTATGATATATGGAGATTGTATCATCCTTAAAAGATCAATTAATAGATCAAATAAGGAGATTAATTTTATATATAAAATTTGTCTGGTAATTTCTATTTAAATGGAGATTAAATTTGTTAAAATTACTAAGATGCTTCACTCTTTTCATTTATTGAAGAAGAGTCTATTAATAATAAATTATATTATATTATTTGTAATAATCAATATTTAAGTTATAAGATAATTAATGAAAATAATTTCAATTAGATTTAAGATAAATAATTAGTTGAATATAAAACTAAAAAATCTAAATTAGACTTATTACAATTTGATCTAATCTCTAATGTAGATTTTGTACACTAAAATTGGTTAGATAATATAGTTTAATTGATTTATCAACTAAACTTAAAATATTAATTACATTATGATGATATTAATTCATTTATTAAGAATTAATCAATTAATGATGGAAAATTTGATGAACTCTTCTTTTAATTATAATAATTAGAAATTGCATTAAATGATCTAACTATATTCTGTGTTGCTGATGAAGAAAAACCAAAAATAATAGATAAAAATGCAATATATTATTTAAAAATGAATTAATATAATTAAGATTTATTAAGAAAGAAAGTTATTGTTTAATCCCTTTTAGAATTTATTGAAATAGTGAAATGGTAGTATGAATACACTTAAATCATTGAATAAAATAAAATTGAATCCAATAATGATATACCAATATAAGACCTTAATATTTAATTCTTATTTCAATTAAATACTATTTTAAATTAAATTTTTTTATTTTTTGAAGCTTTTAGTTCAAATAATGATTATAATAGTCAAATGATATTTTTAGCTTATTTTAAATTAAAATAATATTTAGGATATAATGTTGGAGCATTTTATTGCTTAATTAGATTATTTGAGAACAATGCAAATTTAATTCCTGTAGCTGGTATAATGCCTTTTATTGGGGATTCTGAAAAGGATTTTGATATATCATTAATTAAAAGATCTACTAGAATCAATACTATTTTAACTAAATAATAAAATTAAATAAAATCTTAAACATTAATTGATGAAATATTTGAAAGAGCAAATTATTGTCTTTAAATTTTAAATAAAAGATTTTGGGGAAATATTATGAAGATATTAAGTGTACTTTGTTTATAAAATGATAAAGCATGTTTTAATAATTAAATTAATATAGGTAAGCATATAATTTAAGGTCCAAAGATTTTATTATAATTTGTTATTAAAGAAGATAATTTACTCTATGTTTAAATAGATGATAATTAATATGAGTTGAATTAAATATATGTTTAGAGTAGTAAGGCTAATAAAGAATTTATGAAAGATATTATAGAATGTAAGAATTTCTTAGACTCTTAATTAAATCTTATAGGATTATTATGTTAAGAAAGGAATTATGAAAATATTTAGTTTTATAGGACTAAGCTACCATAAAAAACATTAATAAATTATATAAGTTATTCTGGAAATGCTGAATCATTAAGATGTAGATTAATTATCATTTTAATGAATTTATATGTTGATTGTTATCCTTATCAACCTAAGTAAATTCCTAAACTAATATTCAATCTAAATAAATTATATGGTTCTGTTTAATAACCATAATCAAATGGATTTAATGCTGAATCATCATCATTAGAATTGTAAGAATTTTAGAAAAAGTCTTTTAATAAATAATTAACAAGATAATTTACTATAAATGATACCAAAGCTATTGAAAAATTACTTACTATTACTTAAGAACTAGTTAAACTTAATTTAATTTAATAAAATTAAATCAATCTTAGTCTAAGTGTTTGTAAAATTTTACAAATGTTTTATAAATTGTATACTTTCAATCTACCTTAAAATAAGGAATTTCATGAAAAATACTTTGATGTCAATTTATTAATTTAAGCATATACTTTATTACCTTAATCATTAGAATAAAATCAACCTTTATAAGAGTAAGTTTAATAATTCTAATAATTTTAAGAATAAAAAGAAATATTTAATTAGATGTCAATCATATTAATTGATTTTTTATTACTCTATTTTAAACAAAAAGAGACTAAAATTTTAATTTAGATTATTAAAACATCTTAATAATTTGATTATCTTGATTTCTCATAATAATATAATTATAATCATTATGAAAAGATAAAAGAAAATACATTTCTTTTATTAAAACATAAGTAATCTTAAACTGAAACATAATTAAAGGCTTTTAATTTAATGGAATCTTTATATTAACCTAAAAGGAATATAATTAAACGTTTATAAAAATGTTTATTTTTGGAAAATTAAGAAGAAGTTTCTCTTTATTAATATATAAAATTAATGATTTTGTAATTAAAAGAATTAGAAAGTGCTTATGAAAAATAGTAATTATATTAGAATTGCATTAATTCTTTAATAAATTTAAATTAATAGATAAAAAAATCATAAAATTTATTATTAATATAAAAAATTTTAAGAATTTTAAATGTAGATTATATTTTATTAGATTTTCTTGAAAGTTATTAATAAATTTGTTAATTAATTACTTAAAAATTTAATAAAAGCAATAATGATAATAGATATATATTAGAAATTAATAACGAAGAAGAATCAATTTTATAATTTTGTACACAATCCTTCATTATACTTAAATATTAATGTAATGGAAATAATTTAAATAAATAAAGAGTATTAAGTAAATTTAATCAATTTGATGAATTTTTAAAATGCCTAGATTTAGGACAATATGATTTACTTTAAGAAATTTATTCTGAATCATATGAGAATATTGAATCAGCAAGTAGTAGGATTATTTATCTACTTTTAGATAATTTTAATTTAGGTTCACTCAAAGTCTTAGAATCTTTGGTCATATAATAAAATATATCAAGTAATAAGAATCTGTTTGAAATCATATAATAAATATAAAATACTAAAAAATTTAAATAACAACTTGGATTTTAAGATAATTCATTAGAAAAGATCCTTTCATAAAGTAAATTTTAAACATTTTAGAAGTAATTTTTAATTGGTAATGTCCCTTATATTTTTTAAATTTAAGGTATTTAATTTATATTGTATTTACTTAAATTTTCAAATCCTTAAGGATGTAAAG